ACAGATCTGGAGCAGTTGAAACGTCGACATCAACAACGGTTCATCCTAATTTTAAAACAAAAAAAACAGGAACCTAAAGACAAAGGATAAACAGAATACGAGGGCAGTTCAAGCATAACGCCACTCAGAGGCGGCTGGAACTCGAAATCGCCATGAAGATGAATCAAACAAAATAAACGAGCAGTAAAGCGAAAGAATAATAACACTTATGATAAACATGTATGTGATTAAGAATCATCACGATTACTTAGTACGCGAAAAGATAGTAGTTTACACAAATCTAGCGTCGCAACACCCGAATCTACCGACTTGACAATGGTACCCTTTATCCACCACACAACACATTTACCCCTAATTAGGGATCGACCATCCAACCACACATGGATTCCGACAACTGTCGACCGCATACTCGTTCAACACCGAGCAAACTCCCCCAACACGGGGACACATCCATTGGTGCACCAAACAGGTGACTAACCAATCATTACCGCAACACAAGGCAACTTCAAATGAACAGTAAACAGAACATACATGTGCATAACTTACCATACATATGTATGTCGGACCAATACCATAATCGGACCCATTCAGTTGGACTGAAATAACAAGGATTTAGAGACGTGACAAAACGAGAAGCAAATCAACAAAGCGATAACAAATTGTATAAGGAAACAGAGAGGAAACAATCGAATGCTCAGATGTTCGCCTCAACAATAAAACATTATAGTTGAGTTTCCAGGAACACCACGAGGAGGTCTCTGAGCTCGTTCCCATCTAACAGTAAATCTCAATACATTCGTCCTTGAACTAGCCCCATAAATGGACCTTCATTTCAGTAATAGTCCATATCCTCCTTCTTCGAGTTATATGCTATTTCCTTATCAGTAGATGTTCTTGATGAAATACATTTTCTATCTTGAACCTAAGTATCTTATACTTTGCTCTGATTCTATAGTACATCGTTAGTTGGCTGTGTGTGCCCGAGATGTACTATTGACTACGTCAGAAGAAATCTTTCTTATCCTATGTTGTCTATCTTAGAAATGTGTAGTGTTTGCCAAGCATGTTTCTTATATATAAATTTACATGTATAATGCAAAGCGGCAAATATTCAATTTCTAAAACGTAGAGGCAACTTGTTAAGAATTTTTACGAGAATTTTATTTCGAGATTGTAGGTTACTTTTGTATGAGTAACTGTAAGTTACCTTCTACGTCAGCTCAGCAAAAATCTTTGTCTTACGTTTCTCCTGCTTGTGCTCCTCCTGCAGCTCAGACTAGTCAAGAGCCCAGAGGACATCAGCGAAAGAGAAGGTCATCGGGTTTATGTTCAACGAAAAACAAGCAGAACTCTGCACAACAGAGAGATACTACGGATGTAAAGAAGGTACATTTTGACACAATTAATCTGTGTTTAATACAAGCTCTTCAAAGTCAAGTATCTTTGATATCGATACTGTCTGAGAGCACAAGACAGGCTCTGGCTTCAAGTAATACTTTACCGTTTTGTTTTTTTATTTTAGTTCTCAGAAAATCAAACGATTGATGACATCCAGAGGTTTATCGGTCCTAGTA